ACTGGAAACAGGGTAAAGAGGAGCTCTTAACTTTCTCACCTTCCTGAACACCACGGCCACAGTGACTTGCATTGTGGGTTTCGTTCCTGGTTGTGCAGACATCTGTCCCACAGTCAGGGACCGTGTGGGTCAATGGCAGCAAGCTGAGGCCACTGTTGGGTGGGTTACACCCTGGGCAAGTGAATCCCAGTACCCAGGAGCATCCCCTTGCATGTCAGTGACCAGGCTCCCAACCCTCAGCTGAGCACCTCGGAGCCTTCACAGCCCATGGCTGGGAAAGGACTGGGAATCCTGATGTTATGCTAGATCACAGCATTCAATAAGAAATAAATACCCATGAAACACATGGGAAGGGTTATTGCTTCAGAATGTCTAAAAGAAGACATTGAAGTAACAGGGAACTTCCTACTTTTTGAGAGGATAATACAAACCAGCAGAGCAGAAAGAAATCCAAAACATCATTTATCAAACCAGCAACAGAATTTTCTCTAAAGGAGATTTCACAACAAGGATGCTTTTGGCATAGGTGGATCCATGGCAAAACAATGATGCAATGCAAAGGATACACGATAGTTTCTTTGTGCAAAGTGCTGAAAAGCTTTCAGAAGCTTTATAAAATTAGAGCTGCTTATGTTTAACAGCTAAAATGAAAAGGTGGGGAGGGAGTTCTTCCCCTGTGCAGTTCTCTAGTAGCAGAGCTTATGATTGTACTCAGCGGGAAACATGCTACTCATCGAGAACTCTCAGCACCTCCCCTCCTGCTGAGCCGCAGGCACAAGGGAAGCTCAGCAATTTGCAGAATTGGGTCCTTGCTTTTGTTCCTCTCGCCTCTCTCCCTTCCCACGTACTCTCCATTCTCCCTTTGACACAAACAGATGGAAAGACCGACGATAACACGCCAATTAGGTTATTTGAAGCCTTGCTAGTAGCTACTCTAAATGCAGGCACATGAAGCAGCAGGATTCTGCTGGTGACATTTGGACCACAAATGAAGTCCCCTAGAGTAATAAACAATCAGGTAAAGAAATCTGGAAAGAAATTACCCAGCACACCTTGTCTTCTTGGCCCCCATGAGATCCATATAAAATGTGTTAATGCATCTGATTATGATCTAAATTACGTACAGAGGCTCCTGCCAAGCCCTCTGTGAAGTTTCTTTATTGTTAAGTTGGAAGCTGCTTAAGAATGGTCCAGTCATCATGTTTCAAATTAGATTTGGGGGAAAAACATTTTCCTACTTTAATGCTGGCTCAGAAAACGGGTTTGTGGGAGAAGGTCGATACGTGTTTTTTCTCTGCTGGAAAAAGAGCAGGCGAAGTGGTGACAGAAGAGCCACTCTATTACCTTGTATTGCAACCTGACCTACATGGATTTACTGTCCGCTGACGTGCCAGAAAACAGCTGTGGCTTCAGCTGGCTTTCTAGAGGTGGGTTTTTTTTCCCCAAAAGAAGGGCATAAACGCCAAGGTGTTCCCATGCACACATTCCACAGACCATAAAAGTTTGAAATAAAGGGTTTCTTAAAATGAAGTTTGATGAGAATGGCTTGCAGAACAGCACATGAGACTTGCACCATGCCTGTAAGGGCTGCCTGAGCTGTTGCTTACTCTGCCAGCAAATCACTGTGTGCTTGGAGGCAGGTCAGGAAGCTGGTTATCTCCCTGGTATGCTGTGCTAACACTGGAGCTCAAAAAAAAGATATGTATAGATACACACCTCCCACGTATATATTCAATACATATAAGTTTGGGAGGGTACCTACAGTTTTAGCCCTGAGGCCTAACAACATCACTTGTAGTGAAAACTCCACCAACTTAACCTGTTTTATTTTCTGCTGGTGTCTGACTAAGCCTTCACCACCTTGATCAGCATCTCCTCTCTACCGCATTGCTGGTTTCCCAAGTCAGAAGCAGAGCTGAGGTCACCTTGCTCAGAAGAGCTGTTTTTTTAAAAGAAGAGTCCTCATTTATTAAGTCCTTCATCTATTATCTCTGCCCTTCCAAACACATAGCTGTAGCAGCAACTGTATTAATTCAAATCAAGCAGGGGCCTATGGAAGAGAGTTAACATATAGTAGTGCTTACATACTAATTTTCCTCTATATATGCATAGAAAACATACACATACATACATTTATATAAATATATATAAATATATATATGCACCAGACAGCTGTCTGCACTTCGCCTCAAGGTCCTCAGCTCATCTTCAGTACAGAGCTCAATTTCATATTCATCACTCCAGTACCCAGCATAACAGGCATTTTAAGGAATCAACCACACCCAACCCTCTGGTATGTCAAGATGGTCACTTGATATGCACAAGAGCACTATCACTCCACAGGGTGACATGAGAAGTTAAGCATCAGAAATCCTTTTTTGTTCGTGGAGTGTATGCTAGAGCCTGTATTCAGCTGTAGCAGCTTCGCTTCTTCCTTCGAACACCTCGAGCTGGGCAGCAAGGAAAACAAAATGCAGATACTGAGGCAGATGTGAAGCCTAAATGTTGAACTGCAACACCCTTGGGCTATCTTAGCACTCATTCCTGAAATGAAAGGCTGAGAACTGGGCTTGTTCAGCCTGGAGAAGAGAAGGCTCCACTGAGACCCCAGAGCAGCTTCCAGTGCCTAAAGGGGACAATAAAAAGCTGGAGAGGGGCTTTTGACAGGGATAAGACAAGGGGAAATGGCTTTAAACTCACAGAGGGGTAATTTGGATGAGCTCTTAGGCAGAAGTTCTTCCCTGTGAGGGTGGTGAGGCCCTGCACAGGTTGCCCAGAGAAGCTGTGGCTGCCCCATCCCTGGCAGTGTTCAAGGCCAGGCTGGACAGGGCTTTGTGCACCCTGGTCTAGTGGAAGGTGTCCCAACCTCTTGCAGGGGGTTGGAACTGGATGAGCTTTAAGGTCCCTTCCAGCCCAAACCATTCTGTGACTCTATTAAAACAGCTTGGCAACAAGGCAATTATGGCAGTGACCAATGCTCCTGCCTGTGGTGAAATGCAGCACAGACATAAAGAGCGAACTCTGGAGTTAGCACATGTAAAACTCGGCCTGAGTGAGACCTTGTTATCAGCAGATCTGCAGGAAACTGGGGATCAGAACTACCATTTCTAGCCACTGCGGTAATGTAGTGGTTTAAACACCCAAAAAAAATGCTTTAATGTAGGATCACAGACTGGATCTCAGCCAGACAACAGCACTGCTTTAAAAGGAAGTATTTATCTCCGCAAAACACTTACTAAACAACATGCTAGGTGCTTGAAAACAAAGCCTTAGCTAGACAACCAGTTTTTAACCTGAAATTCTGCATGTTGGCATTCTCTTCTGCTACAGGTAAAACAGATTCACACCCACAGCATGCTCATTTTCTCTTTTTCTCTCTTTTTAAGAAAAAAAGGAATTTTCTCTTTCAGTTTAACTTTGAGGCACGAAGGAAGACCACAGCCTGGCCTCAAAGACATGAGATCTTTTGAACTCAAAGTCAGCAAGCTCTCACAGGAGCTGATCTCAAGGGCTGCTCTGGAATAAATCAAAAAGGATTTACTCTTTCACTTGAACTAAGGAGGGGAAAAACCCAGCCTAAACATACAGATATGTGGCTGGGGGTGGGAGAAAGATAACTGGTAAATAAAAATAAAGACAACAAAAGAGGGCCATTATGGCTTTATTGCCATGATTCCATAAACTAAACACCATCCTGCATGGTTGGATTTCCTGCAGGAAATCACCAGTACAGTTGCTAAGTCTGCTGGAAGCAGTTCAACCCAAGTATATACGGAGCAGATGCTCCAAACATGACACACAAGGACACAGCTCTCCTGGAGAAATCTTTTGACACCAAGTCAAAACAGAGACTTGAACTGGTCATGTGTCATTAGAGAGACAGCTGTGATTTTCTCACAGATCAGTAGAGTTTGAGGCCAAAAGGGACCTTGAGAGCACCTAGTCTGCTTCTTGCTGCATCACAGGCCATTACTTTTCATCCAAGTTTTCCTACGAGCAGTAGTTAAGCTCTGGCAGCCAAATCCCAACCTGAACAACCGCTGTGTCTCACAGTAACAATCTACATGCTACTTCTACTCAAAAACCTGGGCTGCTAGAGTAGCTCCGCATAGGATGCGACTGCCTCTTGAGCCCATGGTTCCCTCTGCAAGAAAACGCTGCTCCCTGGCAGAGGCAAAAATGACTTCAAGCTTCAGTCACTTCACACCTAACACCTTTGCTCAAGACCAAATTCATCAGGAGTTTTGACAATACTCTGGAGTTTGCCTGATGGAGCTCAGCACAGAACATAAAATCACATCCTCTGGCTTCATTACAGGAGTGAGAGGGAAACTGGAGGAGCAATGTGCTGCTGGCAGCAATCTCAGCCTCTGCAGTGAGATTGCCTGTGGTTCCCAATCTGCCACACACCCCCACAATAGCTGCGCATCAGCACCCATGGACTAATCCTTACATGGTGAACCTACCTTGGTTACAAAGCGTTTCAGAATGAGAGTCTGCCCAATTAAGGACAGTAAAGAATGAAAATTTCAAGATCACGCCTACTGTTTCAGAGCCCAACTCCCCCTCTGAGCTGTGTGCAGGGCTTGGATCATGAGGCACCCAGACACTGAGATGGTGAGCTTAGACCATTAGTGACATTTACCACTGCTTTTAAAATCAGAGCTTAAACTGCTGAAATTAGAATATTGTGAAATGCCACTTCTTTGCCCGCAGTTCTGCCAACTGAATTGGCTAAAACTAAAATAGAGGAGTTGATAGCTAAAAAAATACGTAAAGATCTTGATTAAGACTCCATGAGGGACACTGTACTGGCACTGCCCAATTTTAGTAAGCTTTCCCCATCTCACCGTTACTTAAACTTGACTATAGAGAGAAGAAAGAGAGTTGCTAGAAAAGTAGAGAGATGTTTTGGGAGAATGCATTAAAATACAAGGGAAAATGCAATGTAATGCCAGGCATGGGGCAGAGGGATACAGCAGGGCTTGTTTGTGCTTTACCTTCTGTTCCTTGGCTCAGACCTGCTCACATGTGGAATCCTTCACTATTTTTCTTTCTCAGTGTTGATCTCAAGGGTTCTTCTCCTGTTTAATATAAAAACACAAACAAAACCACATGTACTTAAAAAACATATTACCCATCGCCTAGAGGCATCATGCAAGAGAGGCTGCCTATTAGCACATTGGATAAAAAAAATCCTTCCATACCAACTCCAAACAGATGACAGATTCACAACATAGAATAGTTTGGGTTGGAAGGAACCTTAAAGCTCACAAAGTTCCAACCCCCAGGCACAGGCAGGGACACCTTGCACTAGACCAGGTTTCTCCAAGCCCCGTCCAACCTGGCCTTGAACACTGCCAGGGATGGGGCAGCCACAGCTTCTCTGGGCGACCTGTACCAGAGCCTCACCACCCTCACAGGGAAAAATGTCTTCCCAAGATTCATCTCAATCTCCCCTCTGTCAGTTTAAAGCCATTCTCCCTTGTTCTGTCCCTACCAGCCCTTGTCAAAAGCCCCTCTCCAGCTTTCTTGTCCCTCCCTTTAGGCACTGGAAGCTGCTCTAAGGTCTCTGTGGAGCCTTCTCTTCTCCAGGCTGAACAAGCCCAGCTCTCTCATCCTGTCTCCACAGCAGAGAAGCTCCAGCTCTCTAAGCATCATGCTCCAGACCTCTGATCAATCATATAAGGCCAACATAATTGGCCTTAATCTCCCAAAGGCTTGACAATCTGGGCTGCTGGGGAGTACTGGAGCTGAAGGACACAAGCGGAGCAGACAGATATAGGCCCAGGGCAAAGGATACCTCCTTGGCTACTATGATGCCTAGAGCAGTAAGGCACATCCTCAGCATGGCAGAGGAGTACAGGGCATCCATAATAAAAAGCAAACTAGCCAAAATCCTCCAAAGTTTTGATGACCTCGGGTCCTGGTCCTGCGCCCCTTCCACTGCAGGAACATCACGATAATGAACTCTCAACCTTCCCCACTTGAATTCAACCCTTTATAAGGGCAGTCTGCACACTTACAGAGACAGCCAGGTCCAAAAGGACATGAAAAATGCTCTTGATTGTCAGTCCTACTGCTGACTTGCTCAGCTACCTTCACTCCACCAAACTCCTGACCCATTACCTGAAACCAGCAAGGAGGATACGTTGCTTTGTACAAGCCAGTACAATCCACAGCAGCAGAACTGCAGTGGGAAATGATCAGCATGCTTTACAGACACTGCTGCTGTAGACACCCCTCTAAATGAGCAGCCTGGAGAAGGGATGTTTCAAATCCTTTGTAGCTAAATGGGATGAGATAGGGGTCGCCGGCTTCACAGCTCAAAGCCAGCTTGCAGGCATTCTCAGCTCCCTTCACAGACAACATTCCCACTATAACACCTGGCCACTGACAGCTGTCCAGTCACATGCATCTGACCATTTCCCACAAAAAAAAAAAGAAAATAAAATAATCCACTACATTGTTCCACAAGTGCCAAGGTTGAAGAGGACCATTCAGCCATTCAGTCTGACCTGTTGCATGACACTCCACACACCAGCTCCAGCCTCAAGCCCAGTAAGTCACCATGATTTTTTATCCAAGCTTTTTCCCTTGCTCAAATCCTCTTTCAGACATGCTTCTGCTGCAAACAACTGTCTGATCTCAGCAGCAAAACATACAGAAAAGTGAAACAAACTAAAATACTTTTTAACTGAAGTCCAAGGCTTTGTGACTGTCATTCAGTGGGTGATGCCTCTGCTGCAGGTAACATTTTCTTTTGTTTCAGAACAAAAAGTGCCACGCATCTGGGCCATCCACATCCTGCCTTCATCCTCCTACACAGCCTTTTGGACAGTTTTGGCAGCCAGTACAAGGAAAGTGTCTCAAGCCTCCCTCTTCCCACCCCTACTCTTACTAATGTGTTCCATACTCACAGCCTTTCGCACAGTCCCAGCTCCGCACTGCTCCCAGCAGGGAGCTGCTGCTGGTCCTCAGGGGCTGATTATGGGCTCTAGTGACAAGGCTGGCAGCTGCTTATGAAGGCTGCTTCCAGCCTTTCCACTTCTACTGGCAAAATGCTTCCCAAGTGCCTACATCTCTGGGCTACAAAGAAGGAAGCGTATTGCGAATGCAGTTCTCCTCTCCCTTGGCAGGCTCCAGAATGTGGCACGTTTCCATCTGCACAAGGCTACAAGATGTTTGCAGAAAGGAGAACTAAGAGCCACGACCCCCCTACCCCTCGCTCCTTCCTGGACTGCAAAGCTTTCTTGAGCTCTTTAGAAATCACGAGTGAAGATATTACTCAACAGCCCCAGATGAGGATTTCATTTCAACATGCCCTGCAAAACACACGCTTCAGTGCTCATCCATACTTTGCAATCCACATCTGCACACATCCCTCGCTGGCCCTTTGAGGTCTGGAAATGTTTTATCCCAAGCTCTGGATGCATACAGTTTACAGAATAAAAACACACATTGGTTACGGCTATATTTTTTTTCAAAGTCAGATTATCCTGGGGCCCTGAAACACTGGACACACAGGGCAAAGGACCCAAGTCAGAGCACCTGAAAAGAAGACGCCCAAATTTGCATTAGCCAAATGAAGCAATCTCCTGAGAGCTCAGGGGTTTTAAATAAAGGCATAATTCTAACATAAGCTCTGAAAAACATTAGGGTGCTCCTGAAATAAATGCTTCCTTATGCTAAAAGCAAAGCCCCTTCTTTAATAAACACAGTGCAACTTAATATAAAAATTACAACATATATTAATGACAGTGATCAGAATATAATACTAACAGCAATAATAGCACACCAGCACAGGCTCACCCGAAAAGAAAGGTTTCTCCGTACTCCCCATCAGAGAAGTCGTGACAAGTAGCTGTTATGACTTCATTTCATTTTTTTATTAGTTTTTACAAGCTAGCTATACTAAAAGGTTGCACCAGTAATTTAAACTGCAGTTGTCAGCAGAAGTGAAGGACATCATGGGATACATTTTATTCTCGCTCTTTTATTGCTTGGCTCCATGTAGTGATTCAAGCAGCTTAAGGATTGTAGAGGTACTGTCACAACAATATTGGGCCCTTAGCAAGCTGCCATTTAAAAAGAGACCAAAACCCCACAGCCTTTAAGGAAGTGGCTGGACCAGCAGAAGCTGCTCAAGAGTCAATAACCGCTGATTGCTACCCTCATGGGGACGTGCTCTTTCTGCAATGTTATTCTTAACTTGACAGAATGGGAGGTGGCTCTGTAATGTGCAGTAAACGCTGATCTTGGCAGCTCTGCCAAAACACATGCACTTATACATACAGGCATCGTGACTCCCCCTACCATCAGCAGGAGCCAGCAGCACTCTGGCACACATCTGCTATGACACAACGTGCAACTCCACATCCCACAGGTTGAAATCAAGTGTGAGATGGGCTCTCCACGGGATGGAATCAGGATGGACGACATACACTGCAGGCATTAAAGGAGATCTTACTGCAATTTGCTTCTAAAAAAGCTTCTCCTTTATCTTTACCCCTATACACAAAAATTACCTCCTCTAACGTGTGCTGCGATTGAAACATGGCTCTCCAAGGTGCTGCTGGCACCCATCAGAAGCAGGTTGGCGTGGTCATCTCCTCCAGACCCAGTCCCAGGAGACAGAGAGGAGACACCAGGTACCCCTGGGGTGTTTGTTTCACCATGCCCAGTGCTGCCCCATCAATCAAGGGCAGGTAATGCCACCTCCCTGCTGTGCCAACTGCTGAAGGGGATAAGCAGAGGACAGGAGCACAAGGTGGCTGGCACAGATCCAAACCAGGAAACCCTCAAACAGTACTGGCAAAAGGAGAACTGTTTTGAAGATTCCTGAGACAGGAGGCATCTGCTTTCTGTCCAAGCACCACCCCAGGGTTCTGCTGGACTCTTCTCCACACATGATCAAAAAGCAATTTAATTTGCATCAGCTCTTCCTTGAACTTGCACACACAGATCAACCCAACTGCTCTTCCTCAAAAGACCAAGCTGGTAAGAGATGCTGGTTTTCAGCCTCATCCAGCTAGCCCCAAACACCATGGGGCTAGAGGGCAGAAAACATCCCATTGCTGAGATGGCTGCTGGCTGCTTGCCTGGCAGAGGACTTACTTCCAGATCAGATTATGAAAACTAACCTGGAAAAAAAGGCAGGAGGCATTCTTGGTCAAAGTAGTGCATTACTCTGGGCACCAGACAAATCAAATCCTGCTTCCCCATTATTCTGCAGGGTGCCAAGCTTTCCTGAAGTCCCTAAGTGCTACCCACACACCAGCAAGTCATGAAGCATGTGGGCCACCTTACCCCAGGTGTTTGCAGCAAGGGCTCCAATGCCGACAAAGCTCCACTGCAAGAGCATGCAGGGCTGTGCTTTCATCTGCACTGTGGATCCTGATTCAGCAGAGTTAAAATGCAGCTGAACCAGGGTCACTTTGTGCTTGGGCAGGGGCAGCCTTGCTGCCTGTAGATCTTGATGCACTACTGAGTTGCAGCAAGAACCTAACCTACCTTGCCCAAGGCATAAAGCAGTGTTATTTGATACCTCAAAAGTACCTTTACTACTGCCCCTGCAACAAAGATGAGGAACTAATGTTTTAAAGATAATTTGGTTCACCTGCAGAGACAGAAGCTTTAGGACAGCATTATCAACCACAAATTACTCCTGCAAGTCCTCAGCAAGTCACCACTGTCACCTCAGAGATAAAAACTGCCAAATACCATGATCCTAAACCCAGTTGAGATGACAGAACCACCAAGCAGCTGGGTTGGAAGGAACATTTGAAGATTATCTAGTCCAGACCCCCTGCCACAGGCCGGACCACCCTTCACTAGACCAGGTTGCTTCAAGCCCTTTCCAGCCTGGCCTTGAACACTGCCAGGGATGGGGCAGCCTCAGCTTTTCTCAGCAACCTGTGCCACGGCCTCAGCACTGCTGTTGTAAAAAAAATGTCTTATGTCCAATTTAAACCTACCCATTTCCAGTTTAAAACTACTGCCCCTTGGCTCTGTCCCTACAGGCCTTGTTAAGAAGTCCTTTTCTTTCTTATAAGCCCTTTTCATTATTTTGAAAGGCTGC